ATTGGGCCACCCCGCATTGACCCTGACCGGCAATGCAAAGAAGGACCGACGTAAGCAATTGGGTGGTTTTGCTTATCAATTGCCATGTGCACCTTGCGATCTCACACCATTGCCTCCCTTTCTGCATGCTGCTTTTTAGGGATTCAGAGGAATCGCGAACAGTTACATCCTTTGGCGGAAGCAGGTCTGTTGTCATCTGAACAAGGCCCGCAACTTGTGCAGAGCCAGTGCTTCAACCATGTGAAGAAGTTTGTTCGGAGAAGGGGACGGCTGATTCCCCTCCATGGATGACATCTTGAAGATTATGAAACCGAGACAAGGTGTTGATTCCCCAAAGGAGGATGCCATGATGAAGAAAAGGCTGCTCATGAGGACCTGATGAAAAGGCTGTGTGGTGGTGGAACTGCTTCCTTGCACAAGTGGCGTCACATCCAAGTGGTGGGAGGCAAGGATCCGCACGCATAGCACCTTTTCGGAAGCAACATATGAGGTGAGGTTTGCGTGCCTCCCAATACGAAGCTATGGCTGTCCTCTTTTTTAGAATGGCGCCACTCCGGATCCTGATCAAGGGATAAGGAAGGCATCTTCTGAATTTGCCAGGAAGTGGCCTGCATACTTCGACTTGACAAACAGGTGCAAGGAGAAGAAGGCGGTCCCAAGGTCCAAAGAGAAGATAAGATGGAAACATGATGGCCGGTACTCCAATGGCAAGGTGGAAATTGCGAATTTGGAGGGTGGACTGTGCCGGACTTGCACGTTTGAGACTGCGGCAGCAGGTTGTGGTTCAAGAGCACAGCCTATGCTCAAGAAGTAGAAGAGGCCATCCTTGCACGAGTCCGCATCGATGCCTTTGGTACCAACTTATCCATGACCAAGTTGCACAAGAGTTCCTTCTGTTCTTGTTCATTGATGAACTTGACCAGGCGATACACCTCGTAAAGCATGCAGTTATACAATGCAATCCACATGTTGTCTTTTTCATTGCTAGGGTCTCCCATCTTGAACTCGCCACCTTCCGAATAGGCAAACTTTTTATCCGGACTTGCATCTGAACCACCCAAACTCACTGACGCTGGTGGCGGAGCCTTGGCAGTGGTAGGTTCGCTTTGACCACGAAGAGCCTTCTGCATCCTGTAGTACTCCTTTGCCATCTGCTTCCTGGTAAACTTCTGAAACTCCTTTTTGGATGGAGACTGGAAAGAATCGGCTGTAGAATCGTGGGAATATTCATCCTCATCATCCTCCTCATCAGTGGAAAGCTCACGGTCCATGAGTTGTTCTTCTTGTTGTTTCTTGCTCTTGTCGCTCTTCCTTGTCTCTTTTCCACTTCTCTTCTGTTCCGAACGGGACTTGCCACCAATGGAAGATCCTCCATTGCTGGAAGAACTCTTCTTCTTTCTTGTGGAATCAGCAGGAGGCATGTTGCGGTTGGCTTGTTCGAGGCGATGTCGATCTCTAGCAAAGTGTGATGATTCGTCAAGGGGCTCGCCGGCTGGACCAGGTACAGTTTGTTCACGCTCCGTACGGCTTTTCTTCCCTTTTTTGGAACGGGCGGTTGAGGACTGTCGTCTGTTGGATCCCGATTGGTGCCGGGAACTTGTAGATTTGGATGCAGCACCTTGCGAATCGGACAGATAGCTCACATCAGGTTGGGAGGTTTGCTTGCGACGATGGTTGTGGTTGGTGTCTTCGTCTTCGTGGTATGGGGAGCAGCAAGTCCTCGGACTCCCAAGCACAGATTGGTTCAAGCTTTCGCCCGCCGCCCGCCAACTCTGGTGCGAGCTCTCTGATGCCGACAGACAAGTCCTGATAGGTTCGACGCCGCCTGTAGTTGATTCCAAGAGTGAAGCTGACCCAGCAGTCGGGGACACCTTGGACTCTCCCATGGCAGATGACAAAGCCTTCAAGGGCAAGCCCAAGCCCAATTCCAACCTGGATTTTTGATGGGGCGACTAGTGTATGTGCTGCACCGGTCAAGCCCAAGGAAACCAGGCACCGCCCATGTCTGCGGGGTAGCATGCCATCCACAATGGGGCTACCTTCCGCAGGAAATGGCACCGTATGACAAGTCCCATTGCTAGATTTGTCATCATGATTCAAGCATACCGTTTTGTGATTTGCAACTTGTCTGTTGCCACCAGTGGTGTCAAAAGACTCATCTCTGCCTGAGATGTCTGTGTTGTAACGTTTTGTCAACCACGTATTGATTCCAATGTGACTACTGACTGTTTGTCTCTGCCCCTCTGAGCTTTATGGGGAGACAAACAGATGGCTTCTAAGCCAATTCCAAGCTATGGTGCAAGTATGGGGAGACCAAGTGGGATCCTTACTGACGTCCAAGTGCAATAGGTTCCTTGTGAATGGGGAGTATCTGCAGATAGCCTCAAGACATGTTCCACACACACCTTCGCGAGAGACCAACCCAAGGTGGATGTGTATTGTCCATCCCAAGAAGTACCTCTGCGCACACCACGTCCGTCCTAGATCCTAACACCTTTCCTCTCTTGGACAATGATGGCAATCCAATGCCTTTGCCTTGGAGCCAGCCATCTACTTCGGAGGGTTTGAGATCACAAGTGTGATGTCCCTTCCTTTGTTCCAAGTGGTACCCAGCAATGGACACCTTGATGTATTCAAGAGGGCTGCTGACCTTGTATTAGGTCACAGCCAAGGTCCAAACTGAGGAACCAGATGCTCCCAGTTTTGTGGGAATGTCGAGGAATGACCCAGACATAGAGAAGCTTGTTGACGCCCCCATTTGATGACTCGAATGGTGGGGAGTGATGAAATTAGCATTAGGAGCCTCTATGGGTGTGCCACAGCTGTGCTGGTTAAGTTGGATGGAAACAATGCTTTTGATCGTGTACAGTCAATCAGTATACACACAGCATTGCAGCCATGTGACAATTTGTATATAGCTGAGGCATGCCTATGTGTTCCAGAGCATATAGCCTTCAGTCTAGATACAATGGAATGATCCAGGCCAACAGTCCTCTCCTAGGATCTCCAACAGTAGGACATCCTCTCCAAAAGAGCCAGTTCTGTCAACTGGAGTGAAATTGTGGTAATGGTGTTTTTAGCTTATAGTAAGAAAGATAGTAATGAAAGAGTAACTCTGAGACCCAGTAGCACCCTCAGCCCTGCAGTAGATAGAATCTTGTGTGGCCAGTGCTAGGGCAATGTAACCAGCTCCCCAAGTACTTTGAAGTAGTGATTGGGTAGCATTGATCCAGCTCTTTTGAGCTGGCCTTTCAGCCAGTGGAGGAGATCTTCATCAACCAGAGATCTCCCTCCCAGCTCTTGTGTTCCTACAACTGAGTTCCCTGGCGTAGATTCATAGGAACTTACCTTTTAAGACCGTCCTGAGTAGATCTCAGGCAGACTGACTAAGAGCCTTTCCTTACTGAGTGAAGGATTGAACAAGAGAACTTTGCCAGATTAAAAGTCGTGTAGTTCTGAGTGACTGACAAGATGGCATCTGAAGATGAAGACAGCCCTTCCAAGGCCAGCCTGGACCTAGCAAGGGATTAAGCTTTGGCCGGCTTCATCGCGGATATGACCCCCAGGGAAAGGAAGAGCTTCGAAATCATGGAGTACCTCGTGATGGAATGCGGGGAGTGCTCCCTTGAACTACTACTGTTCATTTGGGGTATGAGTATCACTACCCCTACCAAGGTGACCCGCAATTTCAGCAAGAAGGCCGCGGAGGAGTGGAAGGAAGAAGGGATACCCGAGGAGATCACTTGGGTACAGCTCGAACAGCTGGATGCCCTAACCCAAGCCCTCAATCCCTGTGCATGCTAGGCCTGCATCCAGTCCCACTTCATTAGTGACTCAACCAGTCACAGACCCTTCTCAGCCATTCTTTTCTCGATCCTTTGCCGCAACAACCAAGTGAAGGTTGTGACAGACAAAGAGCCGAGCGAAGCGGGAGACAAGACGCCACAGCTACATCTGAACCATTCCTGAACAGCAAGACAGCAACAACAGCAGAAATCGGATCAGCAGCAGCAGATTTGAGCAAGAACAGTTGTCCTCGTGACCGGGGAGCGGCCACCACAGTGACCCTCCCTGTACTTGCAAACCGAGGCCCAAGGAAACCCACCGGTAATTTCTGTCTGTTGCCCACACATAGAACGAAGAGAAAACAAAGAAGACAGGGAGTCAGAGACTCAATCAAGCCCAAAACAAAATTATTTGGGTTGCTCGGTACTTAAGCCTACACAAAGTGAGTTTGGACCCACACTTGCCCAGCCATGTGGAGACTTCGCCAAGCCAAAGCAGCCCAAAGGGCGCAAGAAGAGCAGAAGGCCCAAGAACCTGAAGAACTCAAAAACCTCAATTCTGCTATCCAAAACATGGCAACCGTCACCCAAGAGAATATCGACCAACAACTCGAAGCTTGGTACGATTTTATGAAGGAGGGCCACATGGAAGCAGCAGAGGCTGCAGCCGAACTCAATAAAATCCTCCGAAAGCATGGCGACCAAGACAAAAATGGATCGATGGTCCTCCTAGTCAACACAGGCAATGGAAACTTTGAACTTCTCACCTGCATCCTTACGGCACCGACCAGAGACGACATCCCAAATGCGCCCCGAAATTCGGCCCTCCTAGGGCTGGGCAAATTCATCGGAGTACTGGGCGATCGCACTGGACATCAAGACACCTGGCTAGTCACCATTGTAGATCCCAAGAATGTGTTTGGCAAGCGCACAGAGAAATTGGCTCAATGGGATGACATTACCCCACCGAATGACGAAGACAATGGTGTCGGCCTTAAACCCCCCGACGATGCCACTGAGGCAGAGTTCTACCCATGTCTACCAATCTTCGGTATGCGACATTCTGTACGAAGGCCTCTACCCCGCCAGTGAGACCGATAGCTCCTCGGTAGCAACAAAATGGGGCTCTCGAACCATTGCCCATGCATCAACTCAAATCCTGGGTGGACGCCATCGGCCCTGACAGTGTACGCGATCAGGCCAAACTATCTCTTCTAGACCTCTCCACTCAAGTCAATCAGACCAAGGATGCTGCAACCATAATGTTCAACCAGACATCCTGTAATGCTGAAACCATGACCGAGCCATTGCAAGCATACATTACACCAATTGTGGAATCCCTCTTGCACCCCAAACCATACCAGGAAGAAGAACATTCTCAAAATGGCACCATCGCAAATGGAGCCCCAAACAGGAGTGACCTCAGCGCAACTGGTGGCCCTCACTCCGAACCCCTCAAAAATGGGGATCCCTCAAACGGGAATGGCACCATCGCAAATGGAGCCCAAATCAGCGCTGGCACCATCACAAATGGTGCTCAAATCGGCGCTGGCACCATCGCAAATGGCAGCCAAAACTCTCAACCCCTCACCAATGAGGGCCCCTCAACCGGGACCGGCACCATCGCAAATGGTGCCGCAACTGGACATGGCACCATCGCAAATGGCAGCCCAAACACTCCCGGAACCAGCGGCCCTGGCCGAGGACCTGCCTTTCAAGGCTTTGACTATCCTGAGAAATTTGTCGAGGACTTATGCAACATGCGATTCACTCACTCTTCCACTGAGAGCTGGTGGACCGGCCTGGTCGGCCATCAGATCCGACGCAGCAAAGAGCAGATCCAAACCCACAATGAGCTCCACTGCTCATACAATGCGGACCGCCTCCAGCTCAACCCAAATAGCATTGGCAAGCTGAGTCTTACAGCACCTGTTCCGATCAAACATATGAGCGAGCTCCTAAACTTTCTCCTCTGGGTTCAGTACTTCAGTCGATACTTCCTGCGAAACTGTGAGATTGGACGCATTGCAGCCGAAATCTATGACCACCTCATCGATGAGGGACAAAGTGCGTCCCTTGAAAAAGACCCCAACTGGATGAGCTTCAAGCCTGGTGAAATTGTCTACCACCTTCTCCAAGTTCAACAAGGGGAATTTCGCCATGTGCTCACAGAAAATGACTTTCTTTTCCAAGGCCAGTACAACTTTTACAAGCACCCCAACAGTGACCGCCTGATCCAAAACTGTGTGGCCGTCTTCCCAACAGTGCATCCAGGCAGGCTACCTGCAGAACTGGGAAGTACATTCCCAGATGGCCCACCTCTGGCACCTCAGGCCCCCCAGCCCGGAATTTGGTCCCCTGTCAGCCCTACGCCTGGGCTTCCCGCCCAGCCGCAGTGGCAGCAAGCAACCATGGATGGGGACAGGATACCCCCAGCCGCCTCCACAGCCACCTCGGCCGCCAGCTCAACCACCTCAACAGCGCCGCCCACAGCAGCAACGCCGTGACCAGGCCCCAACCGAACGGCGCAACCCTGCGCTGCATGCCAACTTGGCTGAGTTCTGGCGCACGGTGCCACCAAATCGCCAAAGTGAGAGCATCCAGCGCTGGCTCACACAGGCGGGTAGCTCCACCACACAGTGCCTTGCTACCTTTGGATTTTCAAATGACGAATGTGGGATGTTCCAACTCCGCGGCAATTGCCGTCGCGCAGCCTGGGCTAAACAGCACACTCCTCGTCCAGTAGGTGACACTCAAGTCAACACGGTGACTGCTCTTTTGACCACTGGTTTAAGGGGCACCCAGCCACCCCGCAACTGACTACCACACACACACCTACACTTTCCATCTCAACAGACCATCCCACAGGACCCAATACCTGGTACATTGAGACAGAACCTCACTCCTTCGCCTCAGAATCTTGCTCCACCACAAGCCACAGCCGAGCATCTGAGCCAAATCACACAACAAACATTTTCATCTACCATCACTAAAAAGAGACTGCACAACTCCCTTCACCTCACAACTCACGCTATCACACAACAACACAAACGCCTCCGAATTCTCCCGCCTGATCCAATCCATCCTCCCACCTCAACTGCAGAGCCCAACAACCCGCATCACGGGCAGCGTCCTTTCACCAACCACAGCAGCCATCTGCCTACGGCAACCGCTCGCCCTTTCCCGGATTGCGCCGTGAACACCACCTCCACAATCAAGCTGCGGCGCTAGCCACACAGCACCTTCAAAATTCGTCGTCATCCCCAGACCAACCCGCTCCCACCGCTCCAACACTTGCACCGGCAGCTCGTCGCCTGCATCAGGTTCCGCAACCCCAGCATCCGGGCCGCACCGGCCCAACCCGCCAACTACGAACCACCTTGACTGACACCATTGCCCCGGCCACCATTCAGGATGTCTTCAGCATCCTTACACAAACACAAAGTAAGTCCAATCCTCATGTTCCTCTGCGTGGTTTGATGTTCCCCAGCCCCCTTGCCCAGGCCCACCCGGCTGGCCCACACCTGAAAGAGTACGGTACAACAGGATGTCCTGTCGACATCACAGCAAACTGGACTTTGGAAGAACTTGACGCTGCCGTGCAGTACGGCGCCCATCCATCCGCCCAATCCGCCAAAGCCGTCCAGGCATGCCGCACTGAAGCCCTGGAAAAAGTCGATCAAGGTTTCGTCAAGCTCATGCCTTGGAAAAACCCTTGGCCGCATCATCTATGCTGTCGGCACCAGACCAGCCGATCAGGGTCCAATTTTGTTTTGCAAATTGGACATCAAGGATGGCTTCTGGCGCATGTGTGTGCCAGAAGCCCAGGAAGAGCAGTTTTGCTACGTCCTGCCCCAAGTTCCAGGGGATCCTCCAGAGGAAATCCGACTTGTAGTCCCAGCCGCCCTTCAAATGGGATGGACCTCCAGTCCTGCCATTTTCTGTGCCGCGACAGAAACAGGACCGGACATTGCAGAGTGGCTTCGCAAATTGCCCCGCCTTCCCCCACACTCCCTGGAATCTCACATGGTGGACCCCATCAATCCTGACCTCCTCAGCCCATCTCCGGATACCGACAACCCTCAGAGCGACTGCCCAACTCCTACAGGTCCCCAACCAGCTCAGCCACAACCTCCACCAGCACCAGCCAACCCACAGGAGGCCATGGACCCACTTCCCACAGTGAACGATGAAGACCTGCATCATTTCTTCCACCAATTCGAGGTCTATGTGGATGACTATGTCGGTCTGCTTCAGTCTACCGATGTAAATGCCCTGCGACACCACAGTCGTGCCTTGCTGCACGCCATTCACCAAATTTTCCCACCACCTGTAGCCACAGGACATGCCGGCGAAGAACCAATCTCTGAGAAGAAACTCATCTTGGAAGGCGAAGGAATCTGGGGCACTGTCAAGGAAATGCTCGGTTGGGTGTTCGATGGCCTCAACAGAACCATCCAATTACCTTCCAAGAAAGTGGACAAGCTCCGTGATTCAATTCGATCTCTCCTGCGTGAACAGCGCATGAATGTTCAGCACTTTGAGTCTCTCCTCGGCAAGTGCCAACACGCATGCCTTGGCATCCCCGGGGGAGCGAACCGCCATGCTCACCCCCCTGTATCGAGCTTTGGGCTCAGCCAAATCAGCCCGCCGTCCTGCCATTCGGATCTTCCCCGCATCCCCCCAATCCCAAGCTCTTCAAGATCTTCAAGTGATTTTCGAAAAGCTCCGCGATTTCCCCATCCACTGCCAGCAGCTTGTACCTGGCTTGCCTGCATACATCGGACACTGTGATGCTTGCAAATATGGGGTCGGGGGCGTACTTATGTCTGGACTCAAACCGTTGAGACCCATTGTCTGGTGCCTGAAGTGGCCCCAAGACATAGTCGACCGAGTTGACAGTGGCACCCTGACCATCAACGACCTTTAGATGGCCGGCATTGTCCTCCAGTACTTGCTTCTGGAACAAGTTGTGCCCCTGGAACTCCAGCATGTAGCCATCTGGTGTGACAACACCTCGGCCGTGTCATGGACCACCAAGATGAGCTCAAAACACTCCATGAATGGACAACAATTCACGCGAGTTCTAGCTCTGCGAATGCTGCTCAACAGGGCTTCGCATTTGGCAGCCCTTTCCATTCGGGGTATCGACAACCCTTTGGCAGACCTGGCCAGTCGTTCCTTCAAAAACGCACTGGGGTGGAAGGAAATTTTGAGCTCACCGACACAGAGTTTCTCACCAAATTCAATTCTGATTTTCCTCTAACCCAGGGAGCCTCCTGGCTCATGCTGCGCCTGCACAACGCGATCGTCTCGCGCGTGTTTACGTTTCTGCGCGGAGAGACACAGCCAACGGGATGTTGGCTGCGACTCAAAAAGTCCGGCTGCGCTATTGGGCTCACTGGGAGCACTGGACCGCCGGACTCCATCAAGTGGACCCTTTTCTCTCAGGAGTTGCACATGAAGCACGAATTGCACTCCTCGAGGGTTTCACTCGCTATGTCCACCAAGGGGACGCAGGTAGAGGACACACAGTCAGAGCTGGCTCAGTTTCGGACGCGCTATGCGCCATTGGCAAGACCTTCGAAATGGACTCACGCCCAAACCCCCTCTACCAAAAAGACTCGGACAAATACTGGGAGTCCCTCCGCAGCATGCTGAGGGGATATCGACGAAATGATCCCCCCACCCAACCTCACCTGGCCGTTCCGGTCACCCTCCCCGAACACCTCCTCCACAAGGCCCGTGCAACCAACGCCAGCGCCTATCATCAAGCCACTGCTGATCTTGTCAACATAGCATTCTATTATTTGCTCAGAGTCAGTGAGTATACCAAACCACGGTCAACCAAACAACACACACATCCTTTCCACATCAAAGACGTTACCTTCTGGGATAAACATGGATGCATTATCCCTTCCACAGCACCACTCCACACCATCTACACGGCCGTTAGTGCCACCATCAAAATTCCCAAACAAAAGAATGGTGTCAAAGGGCAATCGATTCACCAAGAATGTACCGGCACAATCAACAGCCCTATGAAATCCTTGGCACGTCGAGTTCATCATATACTTCGCCATACATCCAAGCAGCCCACTGGACACAAACAAACCAGGATCTTTGGATACAATCACCCCCTCTACCACGGCCTTCGGGACATCACCGCAGCTGACATCAACACAGTTATCCGCCAGGCAGCTGAACAAATTGGATTATACCAGCTGGAATATACTGCTCTTGATGTTAGCAGCCACTCGCTGCGCGCCGGTGGGGCCATGGCACTTCACTTGAATGGTTGCGACAGCAGAACCATTCAAAAATTGGGACGGTGGAAATCGCAAACATTCATGGATTACATCCACGATCAAATAAGCGCTTTCTCCACCGGGGTCTCCATCAAAATGGCCAACCCCATCCCTTTTCGATGCATCGTGGGTCCCACCCTCACACACTCAGTGGCCTAGCCATCCCAGCACACTCAGCACCGCTTTCACATTATTACAAACCACACAAATCATTCCACATTCTCTACCTTGTGCGGCCGAGCATCCTTGCCCCTCTATGGCACAGATCGGCAAGGCACTCTGCCCACAGCGGATGGGTCACCATAGGAGCAAGTCTCAGGCACACATGGTAGCTTAGCATAAACACTAAATACCAAGTTTACGCCCAGACAGTGCCCACCCACTAGCTAGCACAACGTAGAATCGTAGTCGTTGCCCATTGCAGATCTGTTCTGGAAGAGGGTTCTGCATGGACTGGGCTGTGCTCCAGTTGCCAGCTTGCTCACCTGGATCACAGCACTTGGAAGTACCGATCCTCCCTGTGCATGCTAGGCCTGCATCCAGTCCCACTTCATTAGTGACTCAACCAGTCACAGACCCTTCTCAGCCATTCTTTTCTCGATCCTTTGCCGCAACAACCAAGTGAAGGTTGTGACAGACAAAGAGCCGAGCGAATGAGCCACAGATTTGCAATGAAACTTGGATTGTGCGCCTTCTAACTTTGTCTTCCCACCCATGCCACCTGGGGAGCAAGTCTCAGGCACACATGGTAGCTTAGCATAAACACTAAGCACCAAGTTTACGCCCAGACAGTGCCCACCCACTAGCTAGCACAACGTAGAATCGTAGTCGTTGCCCATTGCAGATCTGTTCTGGAAGAGGGTTCTGCATGGACTGGGCTGTGCTCCAGTTGCCAGCTTGCTCACCTGGATCACAGACGTTGGCTTGTCGACGTTCCTGGCGACACTGATACCACCAAAAAGGCGAATGTGTCCACGAGGATGAACCGTTGCCTTGACGCTGCCATCACTGTTCGTTGCCACGGACATTCCATAGTTCAAGTCGCCGTCGTTGTGTGTGGTCCATGGTGGATAAGACATGGTGACGTGGGCATCTCGAGCAAAGACCTGAAATCATGTAGAAGTTCGACCAAGTCAGTATTGCAGACAGCTGATCCTCCCAAAACTGTGGAGCTCAGTCGTAGTACTGTACCTTGTTGTTACCGCTGATGGAGAACTCGGTGATGTCTTTGCCACCACTTCCTACCACGGAGCCCGGGACCGTGGTCCAGATTGTCGAAGTTGGGTTGCCTGTGCTGTACATGAGCTGAGGTGTCTCGATGTTCAAGATGTATGCATTATTGTTGTTGTTGACCCCCACTATTGCACATTGAGACAACATTGAGCAAGTCAAGCCCATCAAGGCACACAAGATTCTTGCACCTACCATGCCCAGCAGGTGGTGCATCAGGAACTGGAACCCAAGTCCCATCAACAAGGACTCCGTCCATGTAGTAAACCTTATCAGACGGTAAACAATGTAGCATGAACGATGTCAGCCTAATGCCACAGCAACTTCACTCAACCAAAAACAAGTTCACAGCAAACTGACCTTCTTGTTTTGTATAGCCCATACATGCTCTCCATTGTCACTCACAGAGACTTGGAGCATGTTTTCAATCTCGTTTCCTAGGACAACAATTTCACCAAAGTGGACTTTGGAGGATCTGTCACTTCTCCACATCCTGTGCCGGATATACCTCCCTCGGGTTGGCTCAAAGGTGATGGCATTTCCGTAGGCTGAGGTTGGGATTGTGAGAGTGTGAGCAAGTTTGTCCTCACGCCGTGAAGCAAAAGAGCCACGAAACACTTACGCAACTCAGGCGGTCCATAATCAGCTCCAGTGTCGTACACAGTGTGCCATAAGATGGGATGAGTTGCACGTCCCACCTCAACCTTCTGCCCGCAGTATTTCCTGTTGTCCTCGTTGAAATGGTACAGGACAACTCCTTTGGTGATGATTGTGGCAGAGAAGAGCAACATGCAACAGAACTTCTCAGCGCAAGAGCCAAAAAGAGCCCCAAGGGTTGCACAAACGAATCTTACCTGTAATCACTTTCTCTTCACCCAAGTCAATGTCAATGAAGTAAGGACTATCATCGCTGCGACAGGTAGTTTCAGTAGTATCGATCCAGGGGCATCCACTGGTCCACTTAGTGCTGCCATCAACAGCTTTCGAAGATGAACCTGTCCAGGCGTGGCCGCCCCCCATCACAGCAATGGCGCCCTTGGACAGGACGTTCTCAGTTTCAGCATATTGTCCGTGGACCATGACTTCGACAAAATGTGCATTTGTATCAACATCATTGGCTCCAAGAGAGTGCTTGACGAAGCGCCCAGTGAACGTTTCAAAGACGATCAAGTTACCATCAGCGGTCTCAATTGGACCGAAAGAATCTATCGTGTCATACTTTGTCGTCCAATTGATACCATCCATCGAGACTTCCACTTTCTGCTGACAATATTTCCGTCCCAATTTGTGGAACAAGGTTACTCCTGCAAGAATTCAATTAGACATCACATTTTAAATGACACAGCAACGGCAAAACGTCTTTTTCAACAAGAAACTTACCCTTCAACTCTGCAGTGCGACCAAGGTCGATGGCGATGAATGGTGTAGCTGTAGTTGAATCGCAGGCGGGCGCAGTCGCTCGAGGACTGCTGGCTTCTGCAAACGCTCCATCAATCACACCCTCAGGGTGCCTCTGGGTCCATGTTGTGCCTGCGCTGCTGTCGAGGGTGACTGTTGCCAGAAGAGGATCAACCAAGTTGGAACTGGTGCCGTAACTTCCATAAAACCGGATATCCATAAAATGAATGCCGTGGTTATAATTGTTCCTGCTCAGGAAGTGCCTCACATAACGAGCTTCTTGCTCTGCAAAAGCTACCGTCTTCCCCAAGGCTGTCTCTACGTAACCAAAATAACCTCCTGTGTCATACACAGTTGTCCAGTCAGATCCGTCGCTGCTTATCTGAATGCGGTTGCCGCAGTACATGTAGCCTGTATCATAGTAGTGGAACACAGTAACAGCTTTGAGCTTCGCCAGTTTGCCAAAATCAACCTGAATGTAAGGTGCCAACTCAGGGGTGGTACACGCAGCTGTATTGGTGGCCGGGGCTTCAGCCCAATTTGAAAGGTCAATGTTACCATCAATGGCTTTTTGCGCATTTCCTGACCAAGCGATACCGGTGCCTGCACCCCCTGTTGTAACGCTGGCTCTGGAAGTCAGACTAAGCTCGTCCAGATAGTCACTATAAACCTTGATCTCCATAAAGTGGACTGCACCATTATGGTTACTCCCGGCAGAGGACCACCTGACGTAGCGTGCCTGTTCAATACCGGTAGTTCAGACACGCGTGAGAAATAGAATGACAAGGATATCTCATCTACATCTAAGAAGCGCAATTGTAGGTAATTCTGAAAACGAGACCTCAGGTCTCGTTTGGGAAGCACATCCCAACCTCTCCTTCCGAACCAAGTCCAAGGTTCCAATTAGGCAACCGGTGCTTGTGTGACTACTTTTGTTATCAACTCCATACACAAGTATGCGCAGTCTCGTAGGAATCGTACTAAGTAAGAGCTACTGGCGTCGGGTTAAGTATGGCCCAACCGTGGAGCCCCACGAAATAGATGAGGATCGATCTGTCGCAACGGAAGGAGTTGACCTCAGTTTGCAGTCGGTGCTTTTCAGTTTTCTTCATAAAATCGATCTCTTGCCAGTGAATAGGGTAAACTCTGCATCTCACTCTGCTGCCCTTCCACTGTTGTTTTAACTCTCTTTCTTCCATATTCGGCCCTTGTGGGTATCAATGGATTTTTGCGCCGTTATCAGCCTGTGGTAAAGCGGAACAGCATTTGAAGAAGAGCAACACGAATACGAGTATCTTGAGGACGTAGAAGGGAGTTACTTTGATGACGACCAGGGAGGCTACGGCCAGCAAGGGCACCGTGGTGGAAACCGTGGAGAAGAAGATATCTACAGTGCAGACGAGAACGACAAGCAGAACTATCAAGTATTCACCACGACCAGGCCAGTCCCAAGAAAAAGAAGTCGAGTCCTCCATCTTCCTCTGTGAGTATTTGCTTCTCATCTCTCCAAAGCTCCCTATCAGCAAGATCGCATAATCCAATCCGGGCAGCAGGCGTCGCCACACAAACGGGCACGCTACCAAAAGCCAAGGCCACACTTCCAAATCCCGTATCGAACGATCCGGATCCGGACGGCAAAAGTCCAAAAATCCAACAGGCCACCACCACTGGAGTCTCCCCGAGCACCTGGCAAACCACTATCCAAGCAGGTTCATTCTGGGAAAGAAAAGCGTCGCACATCCAATCTTGATAGTCCAACAATGAGTGGAAAATGAGGATCAAAGAAGAAAGTGGTCACTCCCCGGTCGAGCAACCGTCAGAGGAAGTCTCGTATGATTGGTAGAGGCAAAGATGACCATGACAAACATGTGGAGTCTCTGAAAAATAGTGAGAAGGTCACTTACTAACTTAGCTTGTACGAGGAGGAGATAGAAAAATGAGATGAGGAGCCGAACAGGAGGAGGCTGATTTGGGATGGGACCTGACAACTTCGACCTGGAAGAGGCCCTTGGCAATAACACCAAGGGGAGTAATTATTATATACTAGCTTCCGGCTGTTTCAATAAGAATACCTGGATTGACAAGGAGTTTAGCAGCGAGAAATAGGATGAAGCCATTGCCTATATTGTACTGGATCGACTGGGCATGAAGGCCTTCTTGTTGACTGGCGACCGTAAGAAGGACCAGGGTAAGTTCTCGCTACACGATCGGGAACCTTTTGGTTGTCTAATTGCCCAGTGCACCTGATCAATCTGGAACCGTTGTTATTCTCTTTCTTTACAGTGAACAAGGAAAGGCGCGCCGCAAGGGTTGCCCATTGGAAAGATGCTATTACGGCAATCATGAACGAGTAACGCAACTTCGTCGTGACCCAGATGTACATAAAGACAGAGGACTTTTGTGCTGCAAATGGACTCGACAAGATGCCAACTCCTGAACAGCTCAAAGCTGTGTTGATGCGGGAGGTTCCTCCTGAAGACCTTGCCCAAGAAGCCAGTGAACAAGAAAAGGCAGAGCGTGAGGAAATCAAGCTTCATTCTTCCCTTTACACGGAGAAGCTTTTTCCATGTGTTGCTGGTGCATCCAGCTGGTTTAGGGAGTCAATCCGCCAAAACCAGTTGATTAGTGTGGCAAAGTGGAAGGGAAAGCTGGTTGTTCCTCCCGGATCTGAGGCAATGACCCTCCTCATCTACGAGAACTCCTAACCCAGATGGAACCTCTGCTCCCAGCCTGGGAACAATGACTGTGGCTGAAAGAAATGGACTGCCCCCCAGAGCAGCAAGGACTCGGGTACAAAAAAGTTTGCTACCAAATACTCAAACTCCAAGGTGGGCAATGCCAATTATGGAGGTTGGTCCAATGCAGGCGGAAGGCGCTACAATGCCCACAAGCTTGAGGTTCAGGATGGCCGTGCCAAGCCCAATGCCAAAGATGCAGAACAACAATTGCTGAAATGGATGTTGCAATATTGTGGAAGGGAAGACCACCAGCCCGATCCGGATGCCTTGAACAAGAAAAAGAAGGGCAAGCGTTCCTCCGATGATCTGTGTTGGACTGTGACTAGGGTCCTTTCAGGTTGTCAATTGGCAGACAATGCCCCATTGAATGGGAAGTCCTTGGTCGCCTTTTGATTCCCTTTGGTGCTTTTTGGCAGGGGTTTTGTGAGAAATTTGTTGCCCATTTCTCTCTGTTCGTAAGCCTTCCGGTGCTTTTTCGGTACCCATTGCCTCCCCTTCCTTTTGCTGATCTTGTTTAATTTTGGCGGTGTGGTAGTTGGCCCTATTGGTAGCCTTTTTCACCCTTTTCACACCTTTCACCATGAGGATCTATTACGGTGATCCTCTTTTTTGGTGACTCAATACTGCTCTATTTGGATTAGCGTTAACATTCTAGCATTTTAATATTCCCACTCTTATACTAGTCTTATCTCGTTTTAGTCTGGTTTTAGTTGAAACTTTGGCCACCTGCAGTTCCCATTTTTGGTAGGTAACTCCTCCTGCGATTAATAGCCCCTCTGTGAGGATCTATTGTTGTTGGGAATGTAATTCTTCATGTTCTGACCATCCAAAAAGCGGATGGCGCATGTGACTTCTTTTTAGTGACAATGACTAACGGTTGGATACTACCAATAGGCACAAAGGGTAACATAACACGTAATGAAGTTGTTTCCCCTGCCAGTATTAGATTGTAAAGTACGTCCTTCCCAACCTGTA